AATGGTACTGGCATTTTAGTATAATCTTCTATGTCTTAAATTTTCCTTGGGTACCATAACATAGGAGCAATTTTTTTAACATAAGATGCAAGAATTCAGATCATAGATCCACTGACTTTTAAAAGAAAGATTTCATTCACAATAACCACAGACAAGTCTTGTCCCTATGCTTACATGCTTAATATCGACAGCTAGGTAACAGAAAACTTGCATTAAGATATGTTTCATACAAAAACATTTATAGCTTATATTTTCATAGTCAGGATGGCTAACAGGCATGGTTACCAGTTCAGCTGCACATTCATTTTGATACAAGAAGTTAGAGACCAGAGCCACTTTACTGTTTCCTTTACTAAAAATTCTACACCTTAAAAAACCCCCAACAAAAAAGCCAAAGTCCCATATTAGAACATCTGGAAATTAAAGTTAAGGGATCTACTATGTTTCTCACTGCTACATAACCCTTCACACCATACATGTAACCTTAACCTCACTTCCTAAAAAAACGGTTAAACTTGTCATCCAGCAGTAACTTCTGACTAAATCTCCCTTATTACTCAAGTTCCTATATAGGAGTTGTGGTGGGTCAGTAGGGGGCACTCCTGAGCTGAGCCATCTGCCTCACTGGACCCAACAAAAAAAACATGCTTCCGGTGTCTCCACTGAGGAGCCTATGTCTAGCTGACCCCCTTTCTGGAGCACACCCACAAACCAGGGGTAACTGCCGCCACCAACCGGGTGGGGGTCTTTGTTAGGACTCTGTGCAGCCTGGAGTACACAGACCCTGTAGACCTTGGGGGTGCTCTGTCCCCAGCAGGTTATATCTGGGTGCTCCTTATAACCTGAAGCATTAAGAGTAGCCTCCCTTAGCTAGCCGAGCAAAGAGAGCTATAAGGCTAATCTCACCCTCAAGCACACACAGCGAGGTGTGCTATAACAGATTCACAGACGTAGGGTTGGAAGGGACCTTGCAGATCTTCTAGTCTGACCCCTGCCCTGGGCACGAGAGAAAACTGGGCTCAAATGACCTCAGCTAGGTAATCATCAAGCCTCTTCTTAAAGACCCCCAAGGTAGAAGCCAGCACTACTTCCCTTGGAAGTTGGTTCCAGATCCTAGCCACCCTGTGAAGTAGTGCCTTCTAATGTCTAGTCTGAACCTACTCTCTAACAACTTATGGCCATTATTCCTTGTTACTCTGGGAGGCACTTGGGGGAACAAGGTCTCTCCCATTCCCTGCTGGTCCCCCCTAGTAAGTTTATAGACTGCCACCAGATCCCCTCTCAGCCTTCTCTTGTGAAGGGTGAACAGGTTAAGGTCCCCTAGCCTCTCCTCATAGAGTCTGCCCTGCTGTCCCCAGATCATGTGAGTGGCCCTCCTTTGGACCCTCTCCATGTTGTCCACATCCCTCCTGAAGTGCGGCGCTCAGAACTGGACGCAGTACTCCAGCTGCGGCCTGACCAGTGTTGCATAGAGGGGGAAGATCACCTCCTTGGCCCTGCCTGTGATGCATCTGTGGATGCATGACAAGGTGTGGTTACCCCTACTGACCATGTTCTCACATTTGGTGGCCCATGTTCATCTTGGAATTGATAATGACTCCAAGATCTCTTTCTGCCACTGTGCTTTTGAGAAGAGAGTTCCCCAGCCTATAAGTATGCTGCTGGTTCTTACTGCCCAAGTGCAGCACCCTGCACTTGTCAGTACTGAATCCCATTCTGTTCTCATTTGCCCAACCCTGTAACCTGTCCAGGTCCAGCTGTATCCTGTCCCTCTCTTCTAGCGTGCCCACCCCATCCCAAATCTTGGTGTCATCTGTGAATTTGAACAGGGTGCTTTTCACCCCCTCGCCCAAGTCGCTAATGAAGAAATTGAACAGCGCAGGCCCAAGGACCAAGCGCTGGAGGACTCCTCTGCTCACATCCCTCCAGGGGACCTGGTGACCGTCTAAATAAACTCACTAGGGGGGACCAGAAGGGTTTGGGAGAGACCTTGTTTCCCCTAGCGCCCCCTGGCATAACAAGGAATAATGGCCACAAGTTGTTGGAGAGGAGGTTTAGATGAGACATCTGTAAGAACTACTTCACAGTTAGGGCGGCTAGGATCCGGAACCAACTTCCAAGGGAAGTGGTGCTGGCTCCTACCTTGGGGGTCTTTAAGAGGAGGCTTGATGCCTACCTAGCTGGGATCATTTGAGCCCAGTGTTTTCTCCTGCCCAGGCAGGGGGTCAGACTTGAAGATCTACAAGGTCCCTTCCAACCCGACTTTTATGATTCTATGATTATGACTAGAACTTCTATTTATATTTATATAAATATATATATATTGGGGGTGCATGCTCAAAATTTTTTTACCGATAGGGGTGCGCAAATATAAATATACATATATTGGGGTGCGTGCGCAAAAATTTTTTACTGATAGGGGTGCACTATCAAAAAAGTTTGGAGACCACTGGTCTAGATCACTTAATTCTAAGTTACTGGCTAAATTTCAGGTAGTTTACTTGCATGTTCATCTAGAGCCTGATTGAGCTCACTTTGGAGGCCTCAGCTTGGGTCTGTGTTTCCAGAGATGCCTGCTAGCTCCCCGCCCCCCAAGACAGAGGGACCCTTTAAATAGGTTTACCATGTCAGGGGGTTCCTGGACAAATTGTCTTTTTTGGACCCATGTGCTACGTCTAGCCAGGTTTTTTAAAAAAGAGCAAATATGCAAGTTTTCTGCTGTCCTAGACTGGCTGCTTCGGGCTTGGAGCAGTGGGCAAGGGGATTAGTTGTCGGGGGTCACGTGCTCCCTGTGCAGGCTCAGGCAAGCCAGTGAGTGAGTGAGAGCGAGAAACAGACGGTGTGTGACAGCAGCAGGGCTGGGGGGAGCAGGAGTCAGTGGGTTGGGAGTACGAGGCACCAGCAGGGCTGGGGGGCAGGGCAGGGGGCTGCGAGTTGGGAGTGAGGGGCACCAGCAGGGGGCTGCAGATCAGGAGCAAGGGGCACAGTGGATGGGACAGGTGACTGTGCGTTGGGTGTGTAGGGCACTGGCAGCGCCAGGGGCTGTGGGTCAGGAGTGAGGGGCAGCAGCAAGGGGTGTGGGGCTGGGTACTGCTGTTTGGGAGTGAGGGGAAGCAGCAGGGCTAGCAGGGTGTGTGGCTTGTCAGTGAAGGGTAACAGAATAGGCAGGAGCAAGGCACCACTGCAACCCCCACCAAAAAATTAACAGTCATGTCCAGAGTCTGGAAAAGTGAAAGCATCTAAATCCATACCCAGGTACACAAGGGTGCAGCTACACAAGACGCTTTAATGCACAATGGACTATTCTACTGCGTGTTAGTGTGTCATAACAAAAACTGCTAATGCACAGTATAATTAGTCAGGCATCACAAAAAAAAAGTTTGCCTTTGCTACTGCACATTAGTGTAGGCTAATACACCTTTATGTAGTACGTCATATTAGAGTTACTAAACAATGTGCAATAGCATGCAGACCTACCCAAGCAGTAGCAAATTTTTCAGATGGGCCAAGCACTCAACACCTGTCAAAAGTCAAGAATATGGATACTCTAGGCTTCTGCTGCTTTCATGGAAGTGCTAACTGTGAGTCAAGTGTGGATATTTGTCCTATACTCCTAGTCTAAAGCCTCAATGATGTCTCTGAAGCACAAGAGATATAGAATCTGTGGGGTACTTTCACTAACAGGTCTTTTATACTTTAATTAATGGAAAAATAAATATTGCAAGTTTGTATACATTATCCTAAATGTATAGTATAGCATGGACTTTTAAGTTAATAAAAAACTTTTCAGAAATATTTAATTTACCCAGTTCCAAAACATCTGAAGGACTAAACCATGAGCTCTTATTTTTACAAAAGTAATTCAGCCTTTTCTCCAAAAAAACTGCTATCTTTCTCTGTGAATATCTCCGAATATAGAAGTGGCATGGATGTATTACATGGCTGAGGAAAACCAGTTCTGGAGAACCTGTGTAAAAACCATAGAGAAATCAACTGATGTTCAACTTATCAGATACGTAAAACTTCCTTCCCTAATTTTATTTATGTTGAGCTACTTTTAAGTTGTATAGTAAATGGTCAGTGTAAGAAGTTACGAGCAGGTTGCCCACTATATCATTCCTGACCACTTCCGTATCACTTCTGAGATCCAGTCTGGTCTTTTAAGTGCTAATTGACAGCTGAGTTGCAATATCCTACAAATAAACTAAAAGACAAATGATCTATTTCTATAAATGGAGTTTGAAAGATTTACCCAACATCTAGTCTGAGGGGGAAGTCTACAACTAGTACAGCAAAAGCTTTTCTACCACGCATTCCCCAACCTTACTTCCACCTTCTACAGCAGTCCCTCCTTCCCTACACTATACTTACCTCTTCTCCTAATATTTTCTGTTTCCAACTTCTGTAATTATTAGTTTTGATTAGGTCCTTCTCTGCTAGGCAATGCACAAATGTATCAAGAAGGTTCCTCCCCAAAGAGTTCATAATCTGAACAATTTTTCCTCAAAAATATATCTTCCTACACATTCATAAATCCATTCATATCTATTTCTTCAAACTTACCACTTAAAATAGAGAAATCTGAAAGAGCTAGTATCCAACAGACTGTTGAACTAACACAACAGGCTCACATGCCTCTGGGAAACACGGTTGGCAGCCACATCAGTTATTGAAGGAGTGCTTATAACAAGATTTCTCCCATGGTACAGGAACAAAAAATGACATGACTAGATAATTCATACAGCTGACTACTTTTAGGTGTGATGATCCTTAAATTGATGTCACTCACCAGGGAAAGCCTTCTACCCCCACCTTAAGTATATTTCTTTGTTGGTTGGCTTCACTTACCATGTCTTCTAGTAGCCTAGCAAAAGTTAATTTTTGTTTGTGCTACAGGTTATAAAACACTCTTGTACACAACAAAATCAGTCTAAAGCTTAAAGAAAAACACACAAAAATGAGTGCAATAAATAGAATGGACAAAGATGCTGAAGTCTTGAGGGATAAAACAACCGTCTCAAGTATCCTCTTTTTCTCTAATAAATTTAAACTAGATGATTTTGCAGTGTTTTAAGCAAAGCAATTATTGAAGCTTCAGGGAAAGACGGGGGGAAGAGGAAACATCACAAAGCAAGCAATCACAAAATGTGTCTACCACACCTCTATTTTTCCACTAACATCCTTGCTACAGTTTGCTAACATCCATAATGCTGACTGAACATGTTGCGTCAATCTGCCAAAGAAACTTTATCACATGAGAAATGCTCACCTGCTCTGCGTCCAAAAGGCAACCATTTGTTTTGGAAAATTTTTCTTTGAGTATCTTTAAGAGATCCTGTGGAATGTGCTTTGAAGAAAGCATAACACAGTTAAACAGGTGACTGAATGAGATAATGGAACAATTACTACGCAAGGTTACAAACGTACAAGGACTGTGTGTACTATGCTTCAAGTAAAAGGAATTTGTTGCTATAGAATGTTTTGTAAACAGATACACTTCTTAATGTGTTATTTTAGACAACTGTGTTCATTTTGAAACATATGCTAGTTGGGGTATGGACACACATAGAACAGACTAGTTTAAATAAAGTTTAAACTTGAACTAGACAGATACACAAGCCTGTTCAACCAGTTTAAAGCTTCCTGGAACAGTTCAAAATGTATCTGGAAAATCCAGTACTATTTTGAACTAGTTTACTGTAACCTAAGTCAATGTTATGTGTGGACACCAAGTGTTACAAGACATGGGTCTGGGCAGTCTTCCAGGCACCCCACATTGCACTGCCCTCACTGCTGTAACTGCTCTCTGATTTGTAGCTAGAACCCTACTGGCCCCTTTATTTTCTCCCATTTTGTTGGCACTTTTAAAAATTCAATAAGCTCCCTTACACTCCTTTTGCAATAAAAACTGTGCTTCTAACAATCATCTATGTCCTCATTCCCTACTCAACCATGCTCTTCCAGCTGCTAGGAACCTGAAAATGTGGGTTCAAGCACGCTCTCCCCAGCTCCCACTCAGGCACCCCAATTCTAGTAAGCACATTGCAGAGTTTTGTCAAGTGCAGATGACTAAACTTTACTGAACTTGTTTCAGAGAGAAGGGAAAGTAAGAACATCCCCAGGCACAGGTGACATCCTCTGGGATCCCCAAAGCAATGGTGCCAGCACTCTCTCCTCTTCTCCCACCCCTCGCTGTGAGGCATTCTGGGCTGGGTGCTCAATCACAACCCCTCCCCTACCGTCAAAGCCACAGCACTTCAATGCCTAAGAGGTGACGGTTCCACCTGGGATGCTAGATACTATACATGTGGACTCCTCTGACCTGCAACAACAATGAACTGGTTCCCAACCAGTGACATTTGGAAATGGTTCAGTTGTTGTGTGCACAGATGCTGATAAACATGTACACTAGTGCTTTGAAATAAAAATCAGACATAGCTACACACTCCTCCAACTTCTCAGCACATTTTGCTCCCACAATTATTCTCAAATAAGTTACAAAACAGTACCTTATTTTCTTGCATACCACATGGCCCCAAATAAGAAACACACTTTGTACTGGGAAGGCAGAATGAAGAAAAAAATTCTAGTTATGGCCACATGGAGCATACAGATGTAAATATTGTTTAACCTCCTCTAATTACATTGGCTAAGTGATTAACTGATAACACAGCAGATGGGACACAGCAGCTGCTGGGAGCTGCTCTAGGCTCCTGGGGCCCTTTGATGAGGGAAGGGAGGAAGGAAGCAAGCCCAGCCAAACAACACAGCCCACCTGAAGCCCTGCACTGGGAGAGAGCACCCGTGAACGAGCAGCAAATTGTTTAATTGACAAGTTATTAAGCTGCCCTCTGTTTTCCTCTTAAGGTATGGGTACCAGTCCCTCTCACCTCTCCCCCACCCCTCTCCTCCTCCCACCCTCCTATCTGCCCTGCTACTTATCAATGCACTTATAGGTTAAATTTCACATCCCTAATGGAGCAGGGACAGCACCTATTCTTCAGGTCACTCACCATCCCTTTTCTGCTCAGGCAAAAACTACAGCTTTAACCATCTCAAAAGCCACAGCCAAACTGGATGAAACTGAAAGGGTTAAAACCATAGCTGCTGCTTCTGAAGACAGGAATCTGCCTTGTCCTTCTAGCAGCGAGGGAAAGAAGCAGCAGCCATTATAGAAGTCTCCATACTTCTATTTCTGGTGAGGGAAAAAAAATCAGCTTCCCTGTTTAAATCATGCACCCTAATTTTGAAGGATAATCTGGGAGGAAAGTTGTGTGTGGTATGTGAGTAAATATGATACACAGCTATATCCGTAAGACTGAACATGCAATGCTCCTTGCACACAATTCTGAAGTCAAACTACCTCATCCTACATAGCGCATCTCTTTTGGTAAACTGTACCTTCTTTTTATAATATAAGAGAACAACTAATAGACAAATGGTAACAATTACTCTGATGCATTCCAGAGAGATAAATAAAAACTCTAACTTCAAGAATCCAAGCAGTTGTAAAGTAATGAGCTGAACCTAATGATAAAAGAAATGGCTGTGAACAAGATGGCTGCAAGGCAGTGTGAGCACAGGAAGGAGATACTGAGAGATGAAAAGGTTAGTTATGTTGTAGTAGAAGCATAAGCATGACATACTGCAAGAGCTTCAAAATACTTAATTTTGTAAGAAAAAAGAGACTATTTCTCCCACACTTACATCTTTGGGATTAGAGGAGGGAAACTTGAACAGACAAAAGGAAGTAGGTTAATTTGAAATGAAGGAAAGAAGCTTCGAAGAACTGTGCCAAACCAGAAATATCAGTCAGTCCTTAATATTTTACGAAGAATAGTTAGAACAGGTACCTAAATTGAATCAGACTGAGTTGGGAGAATCTGGCAGGACAAAACCTCCAGAAGCCAGTAATATACAGACTAAGGTAGAGATAACTAAAGGAGGTAATGAAAACCATCCAGAAACAAATTTTAACTATAAAAAAAAAAAATCTTAGCTCCAACAGATGCAGTAGTTCAAGCAACAGAAAGAAATTTGGAAAGCACTAAATGGGCAGAAGAATGCTTAATTACAAAACTCAGTATTTTAACAATGGCATTAAAAGTAATGTTTAAAATTTAACTTAAAGCCACTTACTTCCTTGGTTATCTTCGAAGATTTCTTCTATTATTACATCAGGGCTAGATAACATTTGAGGTGAAGCATGTGGAATCTGAGAGGGCATCGTACCCAGTTCTTGTACCTGGATATTATTTACTTCTGGATGCACACTGCCAAGTTTTCCATATGTTAGAGTCTCAGTTTCATTACTTTTGATAAGTGTTGGAAGCTTACATGTTTCTACACACAAGTAAGTGTTACAGTCTGATATATCTCCCTTATCACTGAACATCAGAATGGACTGTTCATTGTCTTCACTTTTCCCAGGGCAACATCTGTTTCGAGAAATAACTTTTTCAGCTTTCTTTTTACAGAAGACTACCAGTAAGAAGAATTATTATTCTGAGCTATCATTATACTATGAAAGACACTAAGATTTTGCCTGTCTCAAAGGTTGATATTTTAAAAGTTTTAATACTTTAAAAGCAATAAAAAGCAATTTTCCAAAAGATCATAGTGCCTGTGATCCCCTAGTACAGGGGTACTTGCAACATGCATGCTACAAGTGGCAGAGGCATCCCTCTGTGTGCAGCATGCAACAGATCAGGAAAGGGACAGGCAGCAGTCCAACAGATAGGGCAGAAATCTGAAAGCAGAACAGAACATCAGGCAGGAAGCATATGGCAGGGAACAGAAAGTGGAGCAGCAGACTGTCATTCTGATCCCCTTCTGTTGCGCACTATGGGACAGTGCTGGGCTAATTTCCAGAACACCTCCCAAAAAGGTTGGCCCCAGTGCCCTAGCTGATGCCAAGGTAACTTAATGAAGGGGTGTAAAACTTGTGCTTCAGGCCAGATCCACACCCTGGTGCTCCTTGTGAGCTGGCTCCAGCTAGGGACATGAGGAAGCAGCGATGGTGGTGGCTCCAGCTCTGGTTCTGACCTGGAACATGTGGTGGCAGCAGTTCTGGCTCTGGCCTGGAGTATGTGGCAACAGAGGCGGCAGATCCAGCTCTGATCTGGAGCACAGGGCTGGGGAGGCAGGGCCAGGACAGGATGATAGGCAAAGTGTTGGAGGGCAACCAGGGCTGTATTAGTTCTTGTTGGTCCTTCTGCAGCTGATCGCCAAGACCACTGGGATTCAAGGGCCCCAGATTCTGTGATACTCCATGCTCACCCAGCCATGCCTGCCAACTTCCAATAGCCTGCTAGTGCCCTGATGGGCCAGATATATGGCCTGTAGACCTATTCTGTTTGACACCTCTGATTAAAAGCAACCATTTTATTAAATTCAAGAGACCACTACTACTTGACTGCAACTTCTTATCCTAAAACACACTCCCCAACATGCTCAATAAAAACCTTCTTTCATCATTTCTCCCACAAAGGTTAGGGAAATGCAGGGGAACATAGACTTCTGCTGTATACTATTTCAGACTAGGATGAACCCTTAAATATATTTTCACCCTGTAGACAGAAACTGTTGGCAGAACTTATTTTTAAATAACGCAAAGGACACTTCTATACACTTGTTTCCACAAACAGCAATTACAGTATTATAGCATTTAAATGTGAAGCATTTCAGAAGAGCAGATCTTATTTATTTACTTCTACAAAGCTCAAAATCAGGGAATCACACATATACACATGTGTATAGCAGAATAGGGTTGAATACAGTAAGACTTTCCTACAGCACAAACAAGTTTTTTGGCCAGACCAATTTTAAATAAGTCAGATGACGTACTGCTGCTACTCCCTTGGGAGATTACTTCTCAGTCTAAAGGCCTTATTTCTGCTGGAAATTTGCCCAAATTTCTGAAGTTAGCAGCCAGATTGCCACACAACTGCACCAGTACAAGATACTGGAATAGAAATGTGCTGAGTTTTGGAGGGTTTTTTTAGGGTTGGTTAAAATTTTGGTTGGTTGGTTAAAATTTTACAATTTTTGTAAATTGTGGTTTTCTAGATTGTATTTGCTGCATTAGTGCAAATACCACCTGAAACTGGCTGGAATAGAAGAAAATTTGCATTTTAGATAGCATGAAACAGACCTGGGGAAGATGGGCAAGGAGATTAATACAATGATAGTATTAACAAGATAACCATCCAAACAATCAACCTAAAAATCAACTGAGTATTTCTTTTTGTTCTCTAGTTATTCTTATGGTATACGCATCAAAAACATTCTTATTCCTGCATGACATATCCTTTAAAAAAGGTGGTTCCCATTAAGCAAAGTCAAGCTATGTCTGCAAGCATCTGACATTCTTAATATTCTCTAATAAGTAAACTCCTTTTAGTATTACAATCTCTTCCTTGCTTTTCTCTAAACTCCTTTCAGCTTCTTCCCAGTATCAAGTGGTCTATGAAAGCAGCGTTCTATGTAAAGTTTGGGTACAGAATTAAAAAGCAGATGACTGGCTGTTTAATATAATACTTCTGCGTATGTACTATAAGTGTCTATATACTTGATCTGAGCCTTTAAGAAGCCAAGAAGCAAAAAACAAACAAAACAAACATAGCAGTGGTTCTCAATCTTTTTGGATTGAGGCACCCATATATAAGTTCTGTGAACTGAGCAGCACCCAATTTTAAAAACTAGTTTACTACATTGCAGTGCTCACTTCTTTGCAGAGGAGCCAGGCAGTGAAGGTGGGAGACTGGCCAGGCAAGAACCAGCCTGAGTCTGCACTTACTTACTTATCCCACATTTCATGACACTCTTTTTTAGTATCTCACAGCACCCCAGGGTAACACAGTACCCTGGCTAAGAATCACTGTTACAGAAAGTCACTTTATGTCTTTTACTGCCACCCTGTCCCAAACTTCCTCTCTCCATTCATACCAGAATTTGATATTCAACTTGGTATTTAGTAAGATCATAAGAACATAAGAAATGTCATGCTAGATTAGACCAATGGTTCATCTAACCCTATATCCCGTTTCTGACAGTGGCAGAAGTAGATGCTGTAGAGAAAGCGGCAGTGCTCAATCTTTTTGCAGGATCTGGCTGGTGGTCTAATCTGGCAGGTGCAGGAGGAAGGGGGAGCCTAGACCTGATCTGGCTGTGCAGAAGGGGGCATAGCTTGGCCCCAACCTGGCCACTTAGGGGGAAGGGAGCATGACTCAGCCCCGATTTAGGTGCATGGATAGATGGGGTGTGGTCCAGCTCTGACCTACCTTAGGGGTCAGGAGCTGAAAATCTGGCAGTGGGGGAAGTTGGTGGCATTAACTGCCATCACTCCCTCTGCTAAGTTTGCAAACCTGTGGGGGTCTTGTGGAGTACATGCCATGGCTCTGTGGGCTGGATGCAGAGAAATGTGCACATACTAAATTTAATAGCATCCTGATCATTCAACCCTGGTTTGTCACTAATATAGTGTTCAGCATAAGGAAATCCCTCTATTAGTTTTCTAAGGTAAAACAATGCATACAAAAGAAAAGATTCAATGCTCCAGAAATATTTTAACCTATAAAGTCCTAGTTCCTATTTGGGTTTAACATGAATGACTAAATGCCAACCTATGATTTCTAGTTGCATATATACCTGTTGGTGTTAAAATTGGTAAGCATACCTTTAGAACTTTTGCAAAGTGTTCAGCAACTAGAAGAAGGCTGAAATTAATGTATATTTCCTTTATTAATGAAAAAGAAAATGCTTACTTTGTAGGTTTTTCCCACTGAAACTTTCCTATATTTTTGAAAACAGATGTAATCTCATCACAATTTATGAGAAACCTAAAATAAAGAAAAGCATAGAGGTCACAAAAGTCTCAATGAGGCAATTTACAGAAGTGCTTACAAATCATTTAGAATGATCATGCAGTACATCATGCAATGTGGAAAAATAAAATGAGCTAAGCTTTCCAGTTTAGTTACTCCAAATTTAAAGAAGAAAACTACTGGAGACATTGAGAAAAGCTCACTAGCAGCATATTTAGTTTCTTATTTAGATTTACATTAAAAAAAACCCTATATAACATAATTCCCCCCCCACTATTGCAACACTAGTTCTGCATCTATGAGTTGAGTTTCTATGTCAACACTTAACCTTATCCAACATTCCCTAGGGAAGCAAAAACATAAATACACCCTCCAACAAAACCTGGACAACAACATTTTTCTTCGTTCCTATTTTTCTTGCATCAGTAAAGGCTATTTTTCTTACTCCTAGTAAAAACTAGCGAATGAATTCAGAAAAACAAATCCAAGTACCTTCTTATCCTTTCCTTTTCCAGCCACTCTACAAGTTATCCATATATGGTAAAAGGAGGGATCTGGGTTGTCCACTTGCTGTGGAAAAACACAGATTTTCTCCTTTAAAAAGTCTCTCGACTTCAGGACAAGCTCAGGAGACTTGACAGTGAGGTCTTAAGGGACTACGACCCCAAAGGGAGGGGAGTCCAGGAAGAGTGGCTGCTCCTCAAGGGAGTGATCCTAGATGCACAAGCTATGGCTATCCTGTCTTGGAGAAAAGGCAGCAAGAGGGCACAGCAGCCCCCTTGGCTCAACACGGAACTAGCAGACCTCCTGCGTCTAAAAAGACAGAGCTACAAAAGATGGAGAATGGGATCCACCTCCAAGGAGGAATATACTGCACTGGTCCAGCCCTGCAGGGAGCCAACCATGAAAGCCAAGGCTATGATGGAACTCCAACTGGCTACAAGTATCAAGGACAATAAAGAGTCCTTTTTTAGATATGTGGGGAGCCAGAGGAAAAGCAAGAGCAACGCTGGACCCCTGCTAAACCAGATGGGAGAACTGACAACCGACGCCCAGGAAAAAGCCAACTTACTAAATGGGTACTTTGTATCGGTCTTTCACAAATCCCATGGGACGCCCCTGCCCATTACAGGACAGGGATGCCTGAGTGAAGGTGGTTCCTTGCCCTCCATCAATGCTGACCTCGTGAAGGAACACCTTGAGAGGCTGGACACCTGCAAGTCAAACAGGCCTGACAATTTACACCCCAGAGTACACGAGGAGCTGGCCTACATAATAGTTCAGCCCCTGGCACGGATCTTCGAGAACTCCTGGTGCTCTGGTGAAGTGCCCAATGGTTGGAAGAAAGCCAATGTGGTGCCTATTTTCAAGAAAGGGAGGAAAGTGGATCCAGCAAACTACAGGCCCATCAGCCTGACCTTTATCCCAGGGAATGTCTTAGAAAAAGATTATCAAAAAGAACATTCTTAACAGATTGGTTGAGGGCAACATCCTGAGGGATAGCCAGCATGGGTTTGTTGCAGGTAGGTTGTGCTTGACCGATCTCATTTCCTTTTACGACCAAGTGACCTATCACCTGGATAAGGAGGAAGAGATTGATGTCCTATATCTTGACTTTAAAAAAGCCTTCTATCTGGTATCCCATGATCACCTCTTGGCAAAACTGGCCAACTGTGGCCTCCGGTCCACCATGATCCGCTGGCTCGGAAAATGGCTCTGTGGTCAGATCCAGAGGGTGGTGTTTGACGGAAGTCAATTGTCATGGTGCCTGCCCTGTGACCACTGGGGTCCCTCAAGGCGCTGTCCTTGGATCTATATCGTTCAACATCTTCATTAATGATGTGGACATTAGAGTCAGAAGTGGACTGGCCAAGTACACCGATGATACCAAACTCTGGGGTAAAGCATCCACACCTGAGGACAGAAGGGTGATCCAGGCTGACCTTGGGGCAGATGAGAACCTGATGGTGTTTAACACTGAAAAATGCAAGGTTCTCCACCTTGAGAGGAAAAACCGCCAGCATGCTTATAGGCTCAGCAGTGCTACGTTGGCTAGCACGACAGATGAGAGGGGCTTGGGGGTCATGACCAACCACAAGATGAACATGAGCCTCCAACGTGATGCTGAGGCTAGTAAAGCGAGCAAAACCCTGGCTTGCATCCATAGATGCTTCTCAAGCAAATCCCGGGACGTCATTCTCCCATTATACTCGGCCTTGGTGAGGCCGCAGCTTGAGTACTGCATCCAAGTTTTGGGCTCCACAATTCAAAAAGGATGTGAAGAAGCTTGAGAGAGTCCAGAGGACAGCCACACGCATGATCAGAAGTCAAGAAAACAGACCTTATGACGAGAGGCTGAGAGCTATGGGACTCTTTAGCCTGGAAAAGCGCAGGCTCAAAGGCGATCTGATGGCCACCTATAAGTTTATCAGGGGTGTTCACCAGGATCTGGGGGAACGTTTGATCATCAGAGCACCCCAAAGGATGACAAGGTCGAATGGTTATAAACTACTGCGAGACTGTTTCAGGCTGGACATAAGGAAGAACTTCTTTACTGATAGCCTGCCGCCAGAGGTGGTTCAGGCACCTATTTTGAACGCCCTCAATAGAAACCTCGATGTTTTTCTTGCTGGGATCCTATGACCCTAGCTGACTTCCTGCCCCTGGGCCAGGGGGCTGGACTCGATCTTCCGAGGTCCCTTCTAGCCCCAATGTCTATGAAATCTATGAAATTAAAGGAGAACAATGCAGGAAAACATGGGTTTCCCCCCTTGCAGGTTGGCAGACAGTGGGAATGCATGGCGGTGCATGGGGGGGGCGTGCACCCCGAAAGCGCTGGTGCACCCCCTGACTGGCTGCACTCGCTGCTTAGGCAATGGACAAGGGGGGAAAGGCGGGAGCACCGGTGCTCCCCCTGCAAGCGCCGGTCGGGGAGTGGAGAGCCATGGTGCTCCCAGAAGCGGCCACAGCCACAGCCACTTCTGGAAGTGGCCGCAGTGATCAGCTGCAGCAACTGTCTGCGGAGGCCCCCCCACAATCGAAATTGGCCACAGGGGGACCCCCTGAGAGCACTGGTGGACCCCCTAACTGGCCATGCTTGCCACTTAGGCAACGGGCAGGCGGGAGTGCTGGTGCCCCCCCTGCAAGTGCTAGCTGGGGAGTGGAGCACCATGGTGCTCCCGGAAGCAGCCACAGCCATTTCCGGAACCGGCTGCAGCAATCAGCTGTCTTGCGATCAGCTGTGGGGAGAACACCTCCCCTCAACATGCGTCAGCAAGATCAGCTGCGGGGGAGATCCCCCTTGCCCAGTCACTGACTGGTCACTGGGGGGGCATGTGCCCCCCTGACTAAAGTGGCATCAGTTGCCCATGTTGGCAGAGCTCCAGCTTGGGGCTGGGAGGAGCAGGACACAGGGGGTGCCACGTGTATGTGTGCCTGAGCACACTTCCACGTGGCCAGGAATAGCCAGGCAGCAGTGGATAGCAACTCCTCCAACTGCCTGCAGGTAAACCTATGGGGGCAGGGCATAGGTAATGTGTAGGGGAGCAGGGGCAGGAAGGAGGGGCAAGTTCAGGCAGTAGTAGCCATGGTGAGGGGAGGGAGTGGGACAGGGCTTCATATGTTATGGGCTAGAAGGGACTTTACAGATCATCAAGTCAGCACAAGGATTTTGGGGCCCCACCTCCCCTACACTCCACCTAGCATCAAGCCGTTGTTACTTTGATGTTTGCATGGACGCAATATCATTACCAGTCATCGCCTTCATCCCATCCTGTAGGTCTGTCGTCGTCCTCTCTGTCCTTTCCACGATGTGGCTTCCAAGTATTTTCTTCAGGTAAGTGCACTGACTCTGCCGAGTCTGTGCATGGGGGCAGCTTCGCACAGGGAGGCTGCCACCAGCCATCGCCCTTCAGCTTTCCGCTCTGGCTGCAGCCTGCCCTAGGTTGCCAGGGACACTTCCTTCCAGTCTCCCTGTTGAACTGGATCACGGGGCTCTTATTGCTGCCTCACTGCCCCAGCTGGCGAATCAGCGCTGGCATGTGCCCAAGCTGGTGACAGCTTTTTTTCTTCAGTCTGTCTCCAGGCCCCTCCTGGCTGTGGTGAGGGACGCGGCAGTGTTGTTGCTATATCTTGCGGCTCCGCAGCCGCTGTCCTGCTCCCGGGTCTTGGGAGGCTGGACTGCTGCTAGCAGGGTCACCAGCATTGCTTGTGGTGCAACAATCCTTCTGCCACTGCCATGCTTCCCTGGCTCAGTGTGCACGGATGCCACCCGTGGCTCGGGGCTTCTGCTGACGGAGCCCTCCAGCTCAGGGCTTTTGCTGCTGGAGCCCTGCGGCTCAGAGCTTTTGCTGCCGTCACATATCTCCTGTTAAGTTGCCTTGTAGTGTCTGACATGTGTCACCTCCTGGGCCTGCTCAGCTACTCTTCTGCTCCTGCCATGCTGTTTGCTCCTTGGGCCTTGCTGCTAGTTCACTGCATTGGGACGAGAAATCAGCGACTGTTTGTTGTCCTGGGCTTGTACCCTACATAGAACTTAAAAGGCTGCACAGTTAGCACCCAGCGCATTGTACACTTGTTATCATACTTAGACTTATGCAATCATTGCAAGGGTGCACGGTCCATTATGAGTGTGAATTCCTGTTCCCTTAAATAATAACAGAAATAAGTGACTGCCCATTTGATAGCCAGGCATTCCTGCTCAATTGTGGAGTACCTGCTTTTTGCTGTGCTTAATTTCCTACTTGCAAACGCTACTAGCCTTTCCGTCCCATCTTCTTCTTGACATAAGACTGCCCCCACAGCCATTTCAGATGCTCCTGTCTGTAGGGTAAAAGGCTTAGAAAAGTTAGGGGTCCTTAATAGCACATCACTACACAAAGCCCTCTTGATGTTCTCAAAGGCCTCTTCTATCGGGGAGTCCATCTTATTGTGCCCTGTACTTTTCCACTTATGGAGTCAGTTAAGGGTACGTCCGACTCTGCACAGTCCGGTATAAACTGTTGATAGTAGATGGC